CAGAAGTCTTTGAAGGTCCCAGAAAACCCAATTTTGCATTTTCTAAAAGACAATGTATTGCTGGGGATTTAGCTCAGTGGTTCTGGCACCTGCTTTGCAAATGCAAGGACCAGAGTTCAATCCCTGGTACCAAAAAATAAACTGAAAAATAAATAAATTGCAAAAGGTAATGTACTATGTGGTAGATGGTACAACTGTACTAATGGATCTTTTAGGGGATTTATGACTTTGACAGAAAGCAACTTCTAAGCAGATCACCTGTAGCTAACTTTTTCTGTAAAACATGACTTATTAACCTAGTTTTTAAAAATTCCATTATATTTGTCAGGGTGGTCTTAAACAAATTTTTAATATAAAATTTCAATTATATATGTAAAAATTATACATGTGATTCATGACTAGCCCTGATTAAATACTAGGTAACTTTATTTTCAAGTTGCTCCACTAAGAGAAATAAAATGACATTTAATGGTATCTAATGTCAATACATGTGCTGACTTAGCTTTTGGCCTATTAAAATATTACCAATGGCAGAGTTTCAAATGGTCTCACTATAATAGACAGCTGAATAACCAGGAATCAGACTTACTTCAGAATGACACTGATCATTGCAGCTAAGTTTACCAATAAATTCTAGTTTTATATTGCTTTCCCTTTCTTTAGATCACTAACTTGATTGTCTATAACAGGAAACCTAATTTAAACTATCTTAATAATAAATGGCATTTATTAGCCTATGTAACAGCAAAAAAATTAAAGGCAAGGTAGTTAAATGCCGTGGTTTAATTTTCAAGTTTTGTTGGCTTTGCCCTTCTCTGTATCGGCTTTATCTACAAATTGGAAGCTAGGGAGCTGTTAGGATTCTAGTTCCCACAAGGGACCTTTATCTCCTCCCTGAGAGTGAGGAAACAACTGTTTTGAAAGGCCCTCCAAATACTGCCCTTGCTTTTCACTGGCCTATATTATGTCATGTGCTATTCCCAGACCAATTCCTGTGGCCAGAGTAATTCTACACTTTAAACGGTTTAAAGCTAGATTCCTGAACAACTTTTGTTAAGATTAATGGCATTAACACTCAGCAGCATTTTCAAACACTGCGTTATAACCCAAGAGTGGGACCTTGAGTTAATTTGTAGACTGTAACTGTCACTTAAAAAATTAAATAGAAAAATTGAGAATGCACCACACACATGAAGGGTTAGTAGTTTTATGAACCTTTAACACACATATACTCGGATCACAGTACAAAATGTATTTTGTGGCTTGGGATTAAAAAGTTTGAAAATTGTTTTAAAGGTCTCATGCTGTAGTGACTCAGCTAGCTGGAGCTAACCATTTTAGTTTCCCCTTTAATATTTTCTAAATGTTAAAGTATGCCTTCCTTTCAAAAAAGCCCTTCATAATCCCAGCACTCAGAAGGCTGAGGCCGGAGGATCGCTATGAGTTTGAGACCAGCCTGGGCTACATAGTGAGTTCCAGGTGTCTCAACTAGATAGTGAGACCCTGTTTTAAAAAAACCAAAGCAAAACAAAAACCAAAAAACCCCAACCAACCAACCAACCAAAACCAAAACCAAACAAAAAACCAAAAAACCAAAAGCCTTTCATTGATTCCACCCAATAAATACCCATGATGGGCAATTTAGAAATGGTTTATGGAAAGTACTATGATGAAGAATTCATCAAAAAAAGATTGCCCTCTCCCCACTTTGTGAGACTGGAAGTTTTAGGCTGTGATAAACTATGTAGCCCCTGAACTTGAAGCCATCCTCCTGTTACAGCCTCTTGAACATTGGGACTATAATCAGCATGTGCCACCACACCTAGTGTGAAAGTCGGCTTTCTTTTCTTCTTGGTGCTGGGGATCAAACTCTGGTCTTGCGCTCACAAGGCAGGTGACAGAACTAAATCTGAGCTAAATCCCCGGCCCCCGAAGTTTGTTTTCTAAGAAAAAAATATGTATTTCAAATACCTGAGCACTATGACTCTAATCTTTATTTAGGTATAAAAGTTGAGCTTGAGGGCCAGAGATTTAGCGAGGTGGCACCATGCCTGCCTCACAAGTGCAAAGTCCCAAGTTTGATCCCTGGTTCTGGAAAATAAAATTTGATCTTGAGAGCCAGGCAAGGTATTACATGCCTAGAACTCCAGCACCCAGGAGGATTGCCTCGAATCCTACGTTGCCTGGGCTAAATAGTGAGTTCAAGGTCAGCCTGAATTACATAGCAAGATCCTGTTTGGGAAAATTTTTTTTTATTTAAATTTTGAGCTGAGTATGATGGTGCAGCCTATAATCCCATCACCTGGGAGGTTGAAGCAGGAGGATCACTGCGAGTTCCAGGCCAGCCTGGGATACATGTGAGTTGAAGGCTACCTAAACTTCATAGTGAGATGCTATCTCAAACAAAACACCATCATATCTGATACGATCTTTAGAGTTAAAAAAAAAAGAATTTGAGTTCATTCTAGTTTAATCATTTTCATTTAATATATGAAGAAATTAGAGAGGGGGATGAAGTCATCTACTGTGAGGCAGTTAAACAGCTGCAGAACACAAGTCTCTTGATACTTCAGAATACTTTCCATTAACAATACTTATAAACTTGGAACTAGACTTACCTACCATCCAGCAGGTTCCAGACCTACCTTTAAGGGCTAAAACCCCTCTTACTGGCCATGTAATCTGTAAGATAGCCCTGATTGGTTATAGAAGAGGTTAACAGTTGGCATTAAATTGGGGTATTAAAGAGGTCTAGTAGCAGAAAACAGGATCTCAGCCAATGAAATTGGATTAAATGCAGGAATCTGGAGGAGGTTAGGAGAAAAGGACTGAAAAATGAGGTCTTAAAACTCAAGAGGTTGACTTCCTGGACAGGATGAAGGCTCAGGACCAATAATCAGATAAGAAATCTAGTTTTCCGACTTTAGATAAAGCCAGACACAAACATATGGCTCTGGACATCTCAAACCAGATTTTTAAGACAGGGTCTCACTTTGTAGTTTAGGCTGTCCTTGAACTTGCAGCATTTCTACTGCCTCAGCCTCCCATGTGCTGGGATAACAAGTGTGCACCACCACACCTAGCTGTTTTTTGAGACAGGGTCTGGCACTGAGCTCACAGTGATCCTTGTCTCAGCCTCCCCGGTACTGGGATTACAGGCATGTGCCACCACACCCAGCTCAAAGCAGGTCATTTTAAATTGTGGTATTAGCAGATGAAAGGTTTGCATGTATGTGAAATTATGATGCATCTTTTTAGATAATTTTGATAGCATTTACTATTTACTTTTGCATGAAAATAGCCTTCCTTGAAACAGATGACTAATGTTGGGTGAAATTTTGGGGGGAGGGATATGAGACTGGGTCTTCATGTAGTTCAGGCTGATTTTGAACTCAATATATAGGCCAGGCTGGAGTGCTGGTATGGCAGGCATGCCCCACCATGCCCTTCTGTTGGATGAATTTAGAAAACACAGGATTTAGATTATACTCTTAAGTCACTATTTGATGTTTTTAGAAAAGTTTCAAAGCAAAATTGACTAAATTCTGTAACTTACTACACAGTATTATATTACTTAATTCTATAGGATTAAAGATTACTGATAACATACAAAGCATCTAAGGTGTCTAACATAGATACTTAATAAAGTGATAAAGGGGCTAAAACCTGGATTTAAACTGCTTAATCTCACTACCTGAGAATAGGTCTGATGGCTGAAAGTCAGAGTAAAGAATAAAAATTCGTGTGAAGTGTGCAATCAAGTTTAACTGAGATGTGGTTGAGCATGACAGAGAACATATAGCACATGTTATTTCTGATCACCCTTTGTAAGATTTACATACTCTTGGTTAATCATAATAAGGAGGTATAATTATTATTTTACAGATGAGATAACTGAGGTTTGAGCACGTTCAGAATGATGTACTCAGCTGGTGAAGCAATCAAATGGGCACTTGAACCTAGTCATTTCACCATAATCTGCCTTAATATCTCTACTCTCCAAAATAAGAGACAGGTTTCAGTAAGTGGGATTATATAAATTAAAGTTATCAATAGTAGCCCTTGACTACAGAAGCAACACAAAATGTTTTAATACTGAGTTAGTGACTAGTGTAAAGATGTGACACAGGAAAATTAGTCCAGGACAGGAAGGTCAGTCTTTTGTAGTATTCCAAAAGTATTGGCAGGAGTTTCAGTTTAATCATCTTCAGTACTGTACAGAAAGATCTCATTAGTTTAAACTACAATATATGGAATTTGCAATAATCTATATAGGAACTAGAAAGAAACTATCTGAAAACATTTTTCATATTTCCCCTTTCAATCGTTCAGCTTTCATCACAGAACTGTGACATTCCTCAGTGACTTTTGCATAATGGCCACACTGAATTCTACGTGGGATAACTGAGCCAACAAAAAGAAAGGACAGTATTGGATTCACACGGTACCATGCCTAACAGTGAAGTAGGACACCTCTATTTCATTTTTTACTGGTTCTTCTACACCAATACTCTTTTCTTTTAATTTACTCAGTAAAGCCTTTTGCTAGACATTGGAGACACAGGTCTGGATAAGAGCTCAGTCCAGTAACAGTGAAACTCATGAGACCACCAAGATTCTAGAGAATGAAAGTATCTGAAGACAAACTAAGTCAAAGTATTGAAAAGCAAATAGGAATCTATCAGAAAGCAAGATGGGAATGAAATAGTGTTTTTGAGAAACACTGTGGTATATTTAGGGAATAGCAAGCCTTTCCATGGGATTGGAGGGTGGCAGAGCAAAAGCATGGCTAGAAGAATGTGTAGGGATTCTGAAGAGACACATTATGCTAAAAACTGAATTTTATTTTATGGATCATCATTTCCCAGTTATGACTATGAAACCCTGTGAAAATTACAATGTAAAGAAATGCCAAAAACACTGCAATTTTTGATTCTTTAGTTTTCTTAAAAATCTAAATATAAAAAAATTGAATCATTTTATTTAAAACCCCAAATACCAGAAATGAAGTAAATTGTCTTTTATTTTCACTTACATTTAATTACCAAGAGACATGCAAAACTGTCCAATTTTAATGAGAACAATGTTTTTGTGTCTTTTTATCACATATCCTTTTAATATTAGGTGTAATGTTACTAAGACGGATCCGCATATGAGGTGCAGCATCAAGTCTTTTTCTATATTTTGTTTTGGTTGCAGCATAATACGAAAATCCTGTTTCACACAAGTGCATTGTAGCAAAAGGAAGAAGCACACGAATTGCACGTCTTGCTATGCTTGGGTATTCTCGAATTAGGCTACTCCAAAAATCAGTTAGTGAAAGTTCACTGAAATTTTGTTTCACTTGAGAATCAGATGTTAAATCAATCAGGCTCTCATAATCCCGCGCTACTAATGAGGCTGGTTTAACAGTTACTGTAAATGGATTTCTAACCCAAGCATTACTGTCATTTGTTATAGGAAAATATTTTAGAAGGGTAGAGCGCAAACCCCTTAGGTGCTGCACAATGGCACTACAAATATCTTTATCAACTGTAGAATTAATTTCAGTCAAAAAGTCACTGAGTGTAGGAAAACAATCAAAGTTTTCTTCTTCTACTGATGAGGCCCAAAATTCCAATTTTCTTAACAACGATGACATTTTATCAAACACTGTAAAAACTGTTACATTTTTCCCTTGCATCGACAGATTAACCTCATTTAACTTAGTAAAAATATCTGCAAGATATGCAAGTCTTAGCAGCCAAGATGAATTTGTTAAACAATCAGATAGTCGAAAAGCAGAATCCATAAAAACCAATAATTCACGCCGAAGTTCAAAAAGTCTTACAAGAACTTTACCTCGGGAAAGCCACCTTACCTCTGTATTTAGAAGAAGTGCTGTGTGTTGAGCACCCATTTCTTCACATAAAATTTTTAGTAGTCTGGATTGATGTGGTCGAGCTTTAATATAATTGATGATTTGTACTGCTTGATCTAGCACATTTTTAAGAGATGTAGGCATTATTTTAACTGCTAGTGCATGTCGATATAATAGGCAATGGCTGCTGGTGGTTTCAGGAGCTACACATTTTATCAAGGTGACAGCCTCAGCAATTTTCCCATATGCTGCCCTAGAAGCATCACTACAAACATCAACACATTTTTCCCACTCAATTTCATGTTTCTGCATAAAACTGTTGATGCAACTGAATATTTCTTCACCTGTAGCATTACTTTGCAAAGATTCACATAAGAGTAGGTCTTCCTCGATAGATTTATTAAACCTATAACGAATAAACACAAGCAACACAGCAAGTCCTGAAACATCAGCTGATTCATCTAGTTGTAGTGAAAACCCATCACAAATTTTTAGTCTACAAACAAGCTCTTCTTCAATGTCAGCAGCTAGATCCTTAATTCGACGTGCAACAGTACTGTTTGATAGTTGTACTGCATCTATCTTCTTACTATATTGTTCATCAAACATCCGCATCACTACATCTTTTGCACAAGGTTTGATAAGCAATTCTCCAATAGTATGAGCCTCTCCACTCAGGGCTATATGGTAACTTACATTGTATGATGCCTCTGTAGCACTTTCATTATCTGTATTGACAATTTTAGGTGTTGGGGGTTTATTGTTTTCAGGTGCATCAAGATGCTGCTTGAAAAAGCTAATGTCTTTGTCTTTATATGCAGCATGTTTAGTTTCCAAATGTCTTCGTAGCTTACTTGGGGCTAAAGAGCTATTTGATAAGATTTTCTTACATAATACACACTGAGCATGAGGTGCATCTCTATTTCCAAAATAAGTAAATCCAAAAGATAAATAACTTTCATCATATTTTCTCCTTTTTGGTTTCTTACTAAATGTTGTCATTTTACTGGAACCAGACATAAGTTTGACCCTGGAAAGCTCACTTCCTGATTTTTTAGAAACTGAAGGCTGCAACTGTTCATCTTCACTTTGTAATATTCCAACTTTTTGATCATTTGATTCAGATACAATTTGGTAACAAAAAGATTCTACTTCCTGTTTAAGACTTCCTTGCTTCAGCAAAAGATCCATGGGCCATGAGTTTGTGGTACAAAACATGGTTAATTTAGAATAAACATTGAGTATTACAAACACGTTGAAATTATAAGACAGGATACAAAAAAGACGAGAGATGATATATAATAACACATCAGTTAATCTGTAAATGCTGCCTATGCATCAATGCGCAGATGGAACATCACACGTTCGTTTATCAGGTGATCTTTCATGCGACTTCCTGGTGCTCTCAGGTATGGCACACCTTTCTTAAAGGTAGATTATCACATAAAAATAAAAGCTATATAAATGAGTTTAGTAGTCTTAAACATATTTAAATAACTTATACTAAACAATAAAGAAAAACTATTATCAGCATCAATCTTTTCCTCAAAACACTTATTCAGAGTATTGACATTTCATAAAAAAAGCAGGAAATAAGCTAAGAAATGACGAAGAGTTAATGAACATATTTTTAGCGAAAGAACATATTTAGAAATATATCCCATGGCAAAGGCTGGCAAATATTTTGTAAAGGGTTATACAGTTGGTTCTGTTGCCCTACTCAAATCTGTAGCCTTATCATTTCAGCAGCCATGAAAGTATAAAAGATTGGCCATAGCTGTATTCCAATAAAACTCTTATGTATACAAACATTATAGACCATAAAATACCAAGCTCATCTCATGTAATATAGTACCTTGGAATCTCTTAGTTTTTTGATGCTTACTGCTATTAGATGCACTAAGTATTGATACTATCATATATCTTAAGTCTCCCTTCATAGCAACCATTCTAATGAGCTATATTAAAACAAAAAAAATTTCAAAATGTTGCAAGAAATAATTCTATTGTATCCCAAATATTATGTGTTAACAATGAAGAATGAACTTAGACCAAAAGTTAGGTACTATTTCTCTGGACTTAAAAATCACATATGCTTACATTATTTTAATTAAGACTTTGCATTCCATTATACTATATGAAGACAACCAGGACCCTAAGATACTATAAATTCCTATTTTAAAAGCTTTCTCTTCACATAATAAAAAAGCATAATATAAATGGCAATGCAAGCTCAAAAATCTCTTAAAAAAATTTTTTTTTGTTTTTTGAGACAGGGTCTCACTATGTAGTTGAGACACCTGGAACTTATGAACTTAGACCAAAAGTTAGGTACTATTTCTCTGGACTTAAAAATCACATATGCTTACATTATTTTAATTAAGACTTTGCATTCCATTATACTATATGAAGACAACCAGGACCCTAAGATACTATAAATTCCTATTTTAAAAGCTTTCTCTTCACATAATAAAAAAGCATAATATAAATGGCAATGCAAGCTCAAAAATCTCTTAAAAAAATTTTTTTTTGTTTTTTGAGACAGGGTCTCACTATGTAGTTGAGACTGACCTGGAACTCACTATGTAGCTCAGGCTGCTCTCGAACTCACAGCAATCCTCCTGCCTCAGCCTCCCGAGTGCTGGGATTACAGGCGTGAACCACCACGCCTGGCCAAAATACTATTTTTTATAGGTTAAGTTTTTTAAATTACACATACAAATTGTCTAAACAACTATAGCTACAATTTACTCAGGCTTTTTAATCTGGCTACAGAGTAAGAATATTATCGTGTTAGATCCTGAATCAAAATTGTCATGTTAGATCCTGAATAAAAAATCAAAACCTCTTGTTAACAGGCAGACAGTGTAAGATACCTGAAATGAGGAGTACTCCCTCCTGAAATCAAAACTCCATTTTGGCAGCTTGAAATGTAGACTCTTCAAAAGAATAAAATTAAGGGATGGGGTGGGAAGGGGAGTAACCAGAAGCCTAAAATGAGAAAAATTAAAATTAGACACTGAAACAAGTAAGACTAAATATAAACCTCTAAGACAACCATCCATGCATTGCAATTTATTTTAAATCTAAGCAGTGTGATTTTTTACTTGCAGTGCAGCTAGCTCTGAAACAGAAGATGCATCACTTCTAGAAAAGTAAAAGTGCTAGTATTTTCATTCTGTTTTAATACTTGGCAATTTCACTGCTTTCAAATACTCTCCTATGCATTAACTTCATGAAATGTACATTCAAAAAACTTTCAGAAACTAAACCTAAGTTTTAAAAGTACAGCACTATCTTAATGTCTCTAAAAGGAAGCACCGAGCTAAAATGGAATAAATTTACATGGAAGTGTTACACGAAAAATACATTTTGCTATAATGTTTTGTTCCCTTAATAACCCATCTCCTAAGGCAACTAATATTTATTGAGTAATCATTATTTACTACGTGCCTGTAACTATGCTCATGTCCTCATATAGGTTTGCTTACTAAATCCCTCAAATGAGAGCTAGGGATATTAATAATTCCACATCAGAGACAGATACAGAGAGATTAAGTCACCTCCTAAATTAACATTACTTAAAAAAACAAGCACACAGCCCAAAGTTTGACTCAGAGCCCACGTGCCTACTCATTACTTGTGTGTTCCTGAACATTCTATTCCCCCAGCATTAAAAAAAAAAAAAAAAATCTGGTACCAGGAATTGGGCTATGCAGAGAAATGGCTTAACAATGGGTTACAACTGCCAGAAAGTCAACAAACTCAAATTGACAGAAAAAAATCTTTCTTATTGGGAGCAAAAGAGCAGTGGATTCTCCTTCATGTTGCAACTTGGATTTAGCAAGATAACTTTGCGGAGACACTGGTGCACCTAAAGAATTAGGATTCCACTCCCTTGCTGTCAGAGGACAGAAGAGCAGATGCTTTATTTCTCTAAGGAGGGCCTCATCTCTACTTCAGAGGTGTTACCTGAATCTCTTGAGGACAAAGAATCTGTATTTCCTTAAGTAAACTTTCCATTCCACTCCCCAAAGAGGGAAAAACACTCATCTTTCCTCTCTTCTTCCAGGTACCTCTATCCTTCCACTCTTCCTCGGCCCCCCAGATGGTTCCAGATGTGAACAATGGGTTCTAGGGGGAGAAGGGCAGGGTTGGAAAGCACCCAAGCATCAAAAGCAGGACAGAGGTGGGTACAGATAGCCCCGCCACACCTAAGGGCTTCTCCATAGGGCTACCTGGACCTGGGGCCCGTATCTGCCACCCCTCAGCTCCTCCCTCTCACAGGTGCTGCCTGCAGACCGCCACCTCTGGGCTGGCTTCCGGCCGCAGCCCACCCTCTCTTCTCTCGTGTCCCCCGGCGGTCGCCTCCGCTAAGGACCACAGGAAACCAACTACATCCAACAGCTTCTTTCTACTTTCTCTCCTTTCAGCGACGGAGAGAGCGGTCTTGGCCGCAGTTGCGCTGCCGGGTAGCGCCGCGGTCCCCAGCGGAGGCAACGGCCGCCATTTTAGACAGCTGGAGGCAGCGGCCATTTCGGAGCACCGCTTAGCCGCGGTGGCGCTCTGCTCCTCACCTTCACCGAGGCCTGAGCAAGGTCAAGAGCCAGTCGTCGCAGACTGGAGGGAAGAAGAAGAGAGGAGGAGGTGAAAAACAAAACAGAAGAAAGGAGGAGGCGGGGACAGGGTGATGCTCTCAGCTCAGGAACATCGCCTATGCCACCTCCATAGAGATCCGATTCGCTGCTGGCGCGGTCCTGGTCTGAAGATAAATTTAGCACTATGGAGCAACCGAACACCACAGTGTCCAGGAGCGACTCCATCGCTCCCCAATCAGCGGCCACGCAACTTCCCTCCACCAATCCACGCTAAGCAGTGGGGCGGGACCAAAGCAAAGAACTGGCTCGGTTGAGACTTCGCAACCGAGGGCTTCGCTGGATTCGGGATAACGGTTCTGCTGGTCTTGAAGCGATTGTTCTCAAACTTCACTGAACCAAGGCCTCCCGGGCGCTAGTTTACAATACAGGTTCCCGGGCGCTGCTAGATAGAGTTGGTGATCGTATGAGACCGGAGTGGAGTCCGAGAATCCGCGTTTGTGTCAGCTGTAGCGCTCTGCTTTGCTTGGTTGCCTTGGCAGAGCCTTCGCGACCTGTTACCGGGTTCGTACCCAAGCCTCAGGTCACGGAGCCGCTGCCTCTGTCCCTTGATTTACAGTCTCCCCACTCTGCCCTGCATACTTCGGTGGGCCCCAGATGGGCCCGGGAGCCGCTAGCGGGAAGGGGAGGGAAAGCGCAAAGTCCGCTATAGGTCTGCCGGGGAGTTCGCGTTTAGTGGGTTGCAACGTTCGGGAATTCTAAGCCATCGTTCCACGCCTCCCCTCTTATTTTGTTTTTGTTTATTTATAGACAGGGTGTCTATATTCAGTTCAGGCTGGCCTTGAACTCACTAAGTATGTAGCCCAGGCTAGCCTCGAACCCGAAATTATCCTCTTGCATCGGCCTCCTGAGTGCTGGGGTTACTGTTGAGTGCCACCACATCCTACTGCGACCAGCAAGGCCAATAGCTGCAGGGTGTGCCCTTCTATTTTGTGTGAGATCCGTGGAGGTCTTCTGTCTGTTCTTCATCTGTTCTTCCAAATTGGTACCTAGGCTAGGCACTCTTCTGGGCAGTGGAGATGCATTTGTGAAAGTACGGGTAACATTAAATAGTAGGTCCTGTGGTTTGCAAATGTTTTAGCCTTTTGAAGTTCCGTAGAAACAACTAGGTGAAAGTTGGATTGCGTTTTTCAGGCACTGCACCAATAACAGAAAATGTCCAGGTTGGGGTCAAAAGTAACGGTGGCTTCTAGTTTTTAAAAGTACTTTTCTTCCAAAAGTGATCGAATGTTGTAGGTATTTAAGTCCAATCCTTCATGTCACCATTTCAGCATTGCAATTTTGGGAGTTGTGTGTAGTTTCAGAATAATATTGGAATAATATCTCATTTCTATGTTTCAGAAAAATCTTTTGCATATATGCTCCCAGACTGATCTAACAACATCTGGTATACAGCTTCATAAATTGGGAAAACCCAAAACACTAAATTGACAGAATTAGTGTTTAAATTCTACTAAAAGTCAAATTTAAGTTCTAAAATCTGAAGTCTGTGCTAATGGTTCTTGAAACAAGACTTTTTCTGTAATAGCTTTGTAAAATTATAAAATACTGGCTAAGACATATGAAAAAATAGACAGTGCTTGAATACATAATATGATTCAAGGGCTGTTGTACACACTTTTTAATGTATTAAGTCATTTACTCATCACAACAACCCTATTGGTAAATGAGATCAGGACTTATTTACAGATAAAGACATAGGGAGCTAATAACCTGCCCAGGTTCCTGAAGCTAATTGGTAACAGAGCTTGGATTAAGTGCAGTGCTGGAAAATACACAAGTGTGTTTGAGTGAGTGAGTGTGTGCATGAACATGTTAGGCATAAAACTATTGTGCATATACCAAGTAAGCAGGTAGAACCTCACCATTAAAAAGGAACTCACCTTGTTAACTTGAGCTCAAGAAGTATCACTAGAGTAGTAACAAGAACTTTGATACCCCAAATTTGCAGTCCCTCTTGTGGCTTCTTGCCCTCCCTCAGTTCAAAGATGTGGGCTGCCTTTGGAAGAGCTGCTGAAGCTGACCCTGAAAGAGTTGACAGTTAGAGGCCATTGCTGCCCCAAGCAAGGCAACAAGCCCTCACTTTAAAGAAGGATCCCAGTGATGCATTTCTATATCTGCTACAATTTGTACTAGGATAATGGTTTTGTTATTTCTGTGAATAGATATATATGTATATTTTTTGTACCGGGGATCAAACTCCGGCTTTTGTGCTTGCGAGGTGGGCAGCGGAACCACTAGGCCAAATTCCCAGCCCTTCTGTGAATATTTTCATCATTGTAGTGGTATGTGGTTTGTTAGCTTTTGAGATGCATGAAACATTTAAGAAAATTTTATGACCACATATATAAGATTGGCTTATTGGTGTTAGATTTATAGATTTATTATAAATTTGCAAAAGTTAGGTAAATGCTTATGGAAATTTCATTGGCTAAATATTAGATATATTACATTTGTAGTTGTGATTTAAAATGTCTAAGAAAACTTTAGTATTTGAGTATGCAAATAACATTAAATATTTAAGAAGTATTTACTCTGTTAGTTTGTGAGACCATAAAAGTGCATAAATAAGTGAAAGTGCCCATATTTTTATTTTAAAAGTATGAGATTTATAAATAGTCTGATATTTCTAAATTAAGCCTAATGATTTAAGACATATGATTTTACAATTTTAACATATTTTGCCTTTTAGTAAATGAGCTAAAATGTCAACTATTAGTTTTCTTTTTTACAGGTTTTATTTTATTAACTCCCAGGACTTTTCACTATTACCTGCATGTTCCATGATTCTCATAATTATGACTTAATCTCCCTCTTGAATTTCAGTTAACTTTCAAGCTTGTAGGTTTTCTTTTCTTTTTTTAGCTTGCAGATTTTCCTATTTGAATATATACTAATAGTTTAGGTTCAACACGTTCAAAACTGAAGTAATTCTCTCCCCATACTTGTGACCAACAAGTCATTTACCTCACTTTTGTTAAAGATTTTATTCTTTTAATTTTCTAAACTGGCAAATTTGGAGTCAACAGTCCCTGTTGATTCATCTTCATATTCGATATTAGTGGGCATCAATGCTAATGTTCATCTCCTTTCTTCAATTATTTTTATATATTCCGTAGACTAGGCTCAAGAGGTATCCCTTCTGAATAACTGTCACAGTCATCCTAGGTTCCAGTCTCTTTCCAGTTTACCACTTTTGCATGTCATTCATATTTTAAACCTTCACCAATTAGTTCTTCTGTATCATGGCAAAGGATCATAAAACTTTTCAGCTGAAGAAAATTTTAGAAAATAATACAATGCAATCCCCCTTTCCTCAGTTTTACAGAAAAGTGAATTTCAGAGTTACCACATGACTGATTTCACTTTGCCGTCGGTAACAATGCTGGAGTAATTTTCAAGGCACATGAGGCACATCTTAGAATTCCATTTTTACTCCCGTTAGACTGATCATTATTTATTTGATAGAACATTGCTAATATTTGTTGATATGTAAGCTAAACCCTATTAATATGTCCTCTTTCTTTTACCCATAATAGAAACTCAATGTACATGATCATAAGAAAAATAAATAATTTCCTGGCTCACATGAAAAAGTGCATTGGTAGAGGCATGAATGGATTCAGTGCTTCAGTTGATGACTGCTTGACTATCTTTTGTTAATCCCTCTCTTGGTGTAGTCTTTCTTAGCCTGTGGTGTCCTTCTTATGGGAAGAGAGAACATCCTACCAGACAAATTTATACTGTATATAAATATGCACTTTACTTAGAATGTAGATACTAAAATAATTTCCATATTCAAAATCAGCCTCCTTGTTGGGCAGTCAGTTAACTCTTCATCTTGGCTTTATAATTCCCAGAAAATGGTTTTGTTTTAACTTTTTTTCTTTCAATTTTACAGTGGCAGAGGTGCTAGGTAAGAAGTGAGGTGAGTTAAGGACAGAAATATCTGGAGCTCCCTCTTTTCAGCTAGTGATCATATAATATGAAGGTTAGGTGCTCTGGTTTAAGGGTTCAAGTTTGAGGCATTCATTTTATTGTTTTGCTTTATGTTATTTTAATTTTTATCCCAGCTTTGAAAGCATAGAATTTTACATTTTACCTAGGTGAGGTTGTGCACACCTGTAATCACAGAACTTGGGAGCCTGAGGCAGGAGTATCTCAAATTTGAAGCCAGTCTGGGCTACTTAAGGGAAACTCTGCCTTGAAGAACAAAAATCAAAACAAAAAAGTAGTAGTATTGAAAGGATTATATATAATAACAACTCAGAGAAATTTCTTGGTTTCTTTTTCAGATGTAATCCCTTGTAACACTGTGCGCCATTTCTTTTGGCATTTACCTTCACATGTCTTAATGTGTGTAATAATTGCTCACTTATGGTCCATTATCGTTCTGACCTCAGAACTGCTTGACGAAAGATTTGTATACCCTTCAATTCACCTGATCAGTCCTTTCAGTGTCCCAACGCCAAATCTTGGGAGAAAAGTCTGATTGTCCCAAGTTAGGTTTTCTTATCAGGTTACAATCCACTGATTCACCTTTGAGTGAGCTGTCCTTAAATCAAGTCTTTACTCTGAACTCTTGTCAGGGCTGGGACAAGCTGGATGGGTGCTCTATGCTGGTTAATAATTTGGTGCTTAATCTAGTTGATATGACAGATCGAAGGATTTGACTAAACTATGACTCACTAATAACAGATCTTACTCTTTAAAACAAGAAACCTAGAGACTATGTTTCCCAGAAGACCTTATAGCTTGGGTTCAATAATCTCGTATCTGGGTTGGAGAGAAATGAAAATTGAAAGGTGGCTTGATTTCTGACACCTCTTATTATTTTTACTGCCAGATGCTGGTTTTTCTCATAGTTCTAGCAGAGGTCAAGTTACCAGGTTCTGAGGTTCTGGAGACTCCTAGGAATTCTTTTTAGGTTCTTGTCCTGAACAAAGAATTGGACTAAGCAAAAGGGAGCAGGGTTTTACATTTATTAAAGGTAGGAAAAGAAATATGCTCTGCAGAGTGAATGTAGGCTAATTAAAGTAGGAAAAGAAGTGCACTCCGCAGGATGAGAACAAAAACTACTGTGAAAGAGAGAACACCATGGCCAAGAGTTTAATGGTGGCTATCTTTTTTATCCACTCTTTAGGCTGATGTCAGATGTAGGCCATCCTATGAAAAACCTACTTGAATTCTCATGAGAAAAATTAAAGATAGCATTCTCTGGTCCCAGTGTAGGACTTTGGGAACTGTTTTTTCTGCTCATTTACTGGATCTTTGTACTCAACCACTTGCTCAACTAGATCCCCACACTAATTTCCTGTCTTGTTTCCCCCAAGAGATATAAATCTCCATAGTTCTTTATGGGATGCTGAGGGTGTGGAGGTCTCTGTCTTCATATAGCTACAGTACTTCCAGTTGAAAGGGATTGTTGAAAGGGATTCTCTTTACCTTGGGATGTGTGGCTCACCAGGTGGGTAAAAAAAATCCAGAAGGCAGAGGAGTTAGTG